TCTATATTTCTATCTATGTATCTATCTGTGTGTGTATGTATATAAAATATATCTATATTTCTATCTATATATCTATCTGTGTGTGTATATATATATATGAAATATATATATTTCTATGTATCTATCTCTATGTATATATATATATATATAATATATATATACACATATATCTATGTATATGTATCTATGTATATACATATCTACATGTGTATGTATGTATGTATAGATATGTATCTTTGTATATATATGTGTGTGTACATACATGTGTTTGTATTTATATGGGTGTATACATATATATTTGTATATATATAAATAACATTAATCACGAGTGACCTAAGTGGCTTTTTTTGTGTAGGAGTTTAAACCTTATTTCCACCTCAGTTTCTTAAGGAGTTCTCCAAACAAATGAATTCCTTTAATGTACGTTGGGAAGGACACACAGGCAGCTCTGAGCAGCAGGGAAACAGCACGACACATCGAGCTACAGCAAGAAGAAATGGATGTGTTTTTTAGTGTCTCCAGAGGAGCGTGGAGCAGTGACATTACAGTGACATCTTTACAGATGGATTGTGCCCTGTTGTCACAGAACAGCTTCATCCTGGGGTTTAGAGCAGGATCTGGAGAAGAGAAATCTCCCAGAGCTGATTTCATTTTCTTTTTTTCTTCCCCCCCCCCTCCATTTTCTTTCAGGAACAGTCAGTGCTTGAAAGACATTCACAAAGCTTTGGGGCAGTGGGAGAGATGTTGATGTTCTCCTCTGGCACGGGCAGGCTGTGCCTGGCACGATGCTGTTCTCCAGGACAGGTTGATACAGGCACTGCTCGTAGAATCTGTGTTTGTAACCATAATATTGGTTTCCAAGCAGGGCACACATCCTTGCACTGGCTATTCCACGTTTTCCTCCTCCACGTCACTGTCCTCCGAGAGAGGGAATTCCCGCAGGGGCTTCTGCCCGGTGTAGCTTTTGGGTTGCATGGGGCACTCCTGGCTCAGGATTGCCTGGGTGGAGGAGAGGAGAAATCCTGCTTTGGTAAAACTTGTGATTAATTTGAACACTTAACAGGAGTTACCAACTTCCCCCCAGGGAATACGAGTTAAGGGAGAGTTAAGGGAAGGACCCTCTAAACTCACCTGGTTTTATCCGAGATTTTTGTCCCTTTTTGAGGGAGAGCGGCACCCAAACCAGAAGACGCAATCCCTAGCGAATTTATTCTTACC